CATTTTGAGTTTATTTTTGTGTATTGTGTTAGAGAACATTCCAATTGAGTTCTTTTACATGGAGTTGCAAAACTGAGTTGTCAGTTTTCCCAGCACCACTTACTGTAGACACTCATTTCTCCATCATGTATTCTTGTCTCCTTTGCTGTAGATTGACGGTAAGTGTGCGGGTTTATTTCTGGGCTTTCCGTTCTGTTGCATTCATCTCCATTTCTTTTTGTGCCAGGACCATACTGTTTTGATGATTGTAGCTTTGTAGTATAGTCTGAAGTCAGAGAGTGATTCCTCCAGCTCTGTTTTTCTCTCTCTGGGGTTTTTGTGTTTCCGTACAAATTTTAAAGTACTTTTTCTAGTTCTGTGAAAAATGCTACTGGTATTTTGATAGGGATAGGGATTGCCTTAGGGTAGTATAGTCATTTTCACAGTATTGATTCTTCCAATCCAGGAACATGGTATCTTTCCAGCTGTCTGTGTCATCTTCAGTTTGTTTCATCAACATCTTATAGTTTTCAGTGTATAGGTCTTTTGCTGCTTTAGGTAGGTTTATTTCAAGGTATTTTATTCTTTTTGATGTGATTGTAGATAGGGTTGTTTACTTAATTTCTCTTTCTGATCTTTTGTTAGCAATTTTTAGTTAAAAGGACCTGTTCCTATTATAGAAACCAGTATTTAGTGATTTATCCTTCTCACACTTGTGTATTCACCTTAGGCCTAACCTAGGGTACCTCACCTCCAATTATGATCCCGAATTTGTCCCAGAGAGCCTCAACCTTATAAATGCTCCTAGAATCTAACTTAACAGGCTTCTTTTTATGTTTTTAATGTCCTTGCAGCCTTTGCACACCTGCCAACACTGATGCAACATTTGGCCGATAACTACAAACACTGGAAGACATTAGATGACCTAAAGTGCAAAAGTCTGAGGCTTCCGTCTGACAGTTAAAGCCAAGACAGAGAAGGTGACCTCTTGATCTACAAAGGGCACTGTGAATCACAGCAGTGTAAGAGGCTTTCCTTCATAATGAAAATGACAGGTATAGGTTAAAGAGATAATGTTTAATATCTGACCTTGAATCATTCCATTCCCAAATTTCATTTTTAGAAAACTATGTTCTGTGAAGAAAACTATTAATATATGTTCTTCTGAACAATCACTTAGTGACAGAACAAACACATGGCAAAACCCATTGCCCTGCTGTAACCCTGTGTGCGCTCACCAAACCGTGCAGCTGACTCACTGTAACTAGCAGGACACATGCAGCAAAGACTTGGTGCCCACAAGCCCAGCGTCTCTGTGGACAATGGCCCATGAAGCTTTGCTTGCGTTTAGCTCATCCTTTACCACGAAAGTCTCTATCACTGTTTGCTTGACTATTTTCCTCAAGAGCGTCAATCTAAAAGATGCCTAAGAATATCTAATTTTTAAAAACATATATAAAATGAGCAAAACAACTGGGACCAAACTGCTGATAAACTGGTTTCACAGCCTCCATGGCTAGGTGGTTCTTCTGACTAATGGTATGACACTCAAATTAGAATATAGCCTTGGCCTAGTGAGTGCCTTCTTTAGACTGGTATCAGCAGCCTGCTTAGCCCTCTTTCCCAAAAAGGGGATTCATCCTAACAGATAGCCATCCATGAAGGGGAAGGAAGTGACATCTTGTTTGGGGGTAATCCAAGAGCTTTATCCCTTTATTTCTGGTTTACAGAGGCAGTCACAAGGCACTACAATGAGTATTATATACAAGCCATTAATCTGACTACCCTTGGATAAGCTTGTTTTTTAAAAAAAATTTATATACATTTGCTGTTTAAAATTTTTTATTAGACCAGTCTAAATTTTCTGGGTTTAAGTCCATGGAGTATGTTGTGCCATGTTAACAAGGAGAGAGAGAGAAAGTTTCAAGGTTCAGATGTTTTTAACCTATCTATATTTATGATCATGCCATTTTGCTTTAATGATGTAAAATAAAAAAAAAAGACTGCAAGATGTGTAAATATATCAGAAAATAGACATATGGGGAAGCAGTAAATACTATTTTAAGCTATTAATTGTATGCTAAAAGCTTCTAAAGCACAAGTGCATATTTTTATACAGCTCTTTTCACAACTTTCTGTGATCTACATCAAGTCAGTCTTGAGATTTTCCTTTCTCTTTTACCAGCCAGCCCTTCTGTGTATTATAAATATTAGAGATTTAGTAAACAAAATCTTTGTTCTTTTAAATTCTCTGTACTCCATGCTGCATTCCTAAGAGGTATAAACAGAGACTAAATTAACTGAACCAGTAGTTACTTTTTTTCAAATGAAAATGTGAATGCAGCATACTTGGAACTAGTACATGGGGGGGAAAAAAATGACTTAATCACTACAAAATGTGCCAATGCTTTTTTCTATGTTTTGTACCAAAAAATGCAAACATATATGACAATTCCATGCAAAGAAAGAAATGTACCTAAATTATTTTTGTTAGATGCTAAGAGAACTTGCTTGGTCAGGAGAGCAGCTAGCTTTGTATTGTAATGCTGCATTATGTAAATGTGATGAAAATGTTTTTGTGAAGTACTTGTAACTAAATTCCTACAGCCATTTTTCATTCCTAACAGCTGTTTTTATTTTAACTCTTTGGCCTAAATTTTTCATAATTTCAAATTTTCGGTTAAGTGTTCTTTGTTTCATGAATCACACACTTTGTTTTCAGAACACATTAAATTCACGATGTCAGAATCCCATTTTAAGGAGCTAAATAATTGCCTAAGCTTCAGAAGCTTGCTTGAGACAACAACAATCTTTTCCTGACCATCTCGCTTTTGGTTACATTTGGTAAGTGACATTCATCGGATGTCTGACATTTTTCTATATGAACATTATAGCTGACTCAGTTTCAAATTAATTTCATATTAACACTGCCAGGTACTAAAGCTTTAGCATACCTCTGCTCTTTACCAGTGTCATCTACTACTAGGGTGTATTCTTTCACTGAGTTGCTAATTAAATAGTGCATTCCTAAAAACAGTTTCTAAGAAATAGTCTTTTAGATGGTATGTGTATCAGGTATAAATTATTATCTCTTATTTACTAAAATATTCTCTGTTGAGGGGAGCCTTATTAATTTAGGAAAATAAAATCTCATTTAGAGAGAAGTCATATTACTGCTACTACTACTGAACTAGAAGCTATAAAACACTGTTGCCTGGACTAAAATAACACTATAATTTAATTAGGTTATTTTTTTACTTCCAATTTAAGATTTTAAAATTATGCTTGCCTTCAGAGTTAGGACGCCTCATCTATTCAACCAGAAGCCACTCAAGTTGACAAAGATAAATACAGTGTCCCCAAGTTTAGGCTCTTATGTGAATAAGCCAGAAAATGAGGTGATAAGGGTATTTTTAAGTAAAAATGACAAGGCCTAATGTACAGTATTATATCTGGTGTTGCAAATATAATAGCACTGAAAGCTAAGCTAGGGAAATGGAAAAAATGCATATACTATATATTGATGTCAGTTATAGTAAAATCTGAAGTTTAACTCATAGCAGTTGTCTCCATACAACTAGTGGACAGCCATCAAGTATGAGTCCATGTTAGATTCGCCCATCTCTGACCTTAGGGCATTCATGAAAGCAAAACCATCAGGTTTCATGAATGGGTTAGAGACCTTCCTCTAAATGTTAATAACAGAGGGACTCACAGTGGTACTTACTTATGCTATTTGCTCCCCAAACTTACCTAGGGTTTCTAACATTCCTTGTGAATAGACTGCTGTCACTTAATACTAATCTAGAACAAGTCAGGAAAAGCAAAGAATCTATGAATTCCTTTATAATTCATTGAATATCTTATACAATTCAAAAAGAGTTTATAAACTCATGACCTAATAATGCAGACCCTCCAAAGAAAAAGCTAATTAGTAATAGGGCAAAGTCCATCTATGGAGAAAAATTAAAAGCCTAAAAATGACTGATGAAGAACCTGATGCACTCAGACCAAAATGCATGTTGGCTTGGTTAGGAATCCTACCCATGTGCCAACTTCAGCGTGAGATTAGAAGTGCCTCTGTATAACACTCAGTTATGCCATAATAACCATCTTGGCTAAAAGGCAGTGCTGATTTTTCTATTATAAAATGGAGGTTATGTAAATTTTATATTTCTCCATAAATCTGTTTTCATTGTGAATTAAAACAATGATTGTTAACATTACTTGGTTTTGCTCAAGGGGTGATCATATAAGCCCTTCTCTCTCATTCATATTTTTTTTTTTAAAGCTGTTCACTGATAATGGGAATTGAGCTAGCTAACTAGAAGGGCTTACCTGACTGGGCTTCAGCTTCCTCATTTAAAAGCATTATGGCACTCATCTGACATAGGTGACCAAAGCTCATCCAAACTTTGTAGGTAGTTAATAACGGAAGCAACTGTCAAAGGTAAAGCCAGTTAATTTTTTTTACAAAGATTTCATTAGGGTCTGTGGATTCTCTTAGGGGTGTGTGTGATAAATAAACCCAGAAAGTGTTCTTTGAGACGTATCAGTCCTAACACATCAGCCCCCTTGTAGTTACTTCAATAGGATTCTTTCATCAGCAGTTTAACTCCACAGTTAAAAACACCCATTTTTTAATGTATGGGTGCCAAAAGGGAGAAAGAGTACTCTAAGGCTGATGGGGTAATGAAGCTGATTTAATCTCAGGTAACTGCAAGAAACTACGTTAAGTAAAGCCTGTCTCAAGCATTTCATATTTGAGCCAATGGTAAGATGAATCAGGCACTTTGGTAACACTTAACTCTTTACTGATCTAGCTCTCATCTCTAACATATATGAGGGGCAGCCAGCCGCTAGTCTTGTACCAAATGGCTGTTCAGGCTAGAGGGAAGAAATATACCCTAATAAGATTCCTACTGATTTGAGTTTATAGGGATTTTAGCAGATAGAATTAAAAATGAATGATTTAAACAAACAGTGGTTATTGTTCAGTCACTAAAAGTTGGCACCAAAAATTTTTTAAAAAGCTGTAGTTAAAACAGTGAGATTCAGGTTTGCTTCACGGCATAGTGGTAGTTACTAAAGACCAGGGGAATTTGTAGGAGAAAGGATATTTATCACAAGAATTCTTAATCAAACAGGCTCTAAGGAAAACCAGAGAAAAAAAATACTATTACTTCTATTTCTACCTCCTTCCAGGGTCTAGATTCAAATTAAGAAGCTTACAACACAGCACTCACCACTTCAACAACAGACAATTATTATGGAATCTTCATTTCCTCCCGGGAAGCATCAGTTTTCTAGATACCTCAAGGTTTAAACTCAAGATATGCTACATCCTATTTATTCTTCAGTGGAGTTTTCATTTTTCTCATAAAATATCTTCCATAATTATCATGTATATTTATTTCCATTAAAGCAGGTTCCTTAAATAAGAATTTAAAAGAATGACACGTGGTCACATAGTTAAAATATTAGTTTTGAATAACAAAGTCAGGTATTTCAAAATCCAGAAAGGCTAAATGAAAGAAACTACATGTAAAACTTTAAATATCTAATTCCTGATGATGAATTTAGTTAGAGGCAATATAGTAACACTAAAGACGGAGAGAGGTTCTGAGTACTATGCTTTTCATTAAGCATAAGCTTATATAATTTCTGGTGTAAAATTTAAAGCATAAAAATTTTATCTCTGTGAGGATACTGTGGTATAATTTAATTCTGCTTCATCAGACAGTTGTGCTGAAGTCTGAACAAATCAGACCCATTCCTACAATGGTTTCAGGTAACTTATGTGGAAAGTCAAACAAAAAACTTGCACCATATTCTTTGGTGGATGTACTAGTACCTCAGAAGCAAACCTGTTGCTGGTTTGCAGACCCCCTAAAAAAATTAAACAAAATTAAATAAATAATCAATATGGTAATGGTTTTCAGAGCATCACCCTATATTTGATGTTCAAGGTTCATGTATAGGTTATTCATTCCTTAACCTAGACAGACAGATACAAGTCACCATTCTCCTCTAATTTTTGAAATAACTTTAAACTGCGTAATCCAGATTCTCGTTCTCCATTTTTCCAGAGAATAATGAGGTGATCAGCAGAACAAGTCACTAGTCCATGGTCTTCAAAGTACAGAAACATCTGTAGAAAAAAATTAATTACTGATTATAGGAAATTCAAGGAGAAGAGAAGCAGCTAATACCAAGTAGACTAATGTAGGTCCTTGCCGAAATATGTACCTTGGAGATGTCTTTGGAGCTATCAAACTCCATATCTTTCATGAGAAATTTAAGTGTGGTTGATAATCACATACAAATGCCAGACCCATATCTAATATTTTAATAATCAGAACTTTGTAAACACTACTCAACTACAGAGCTATAAATAACAGCTATTTTTTTTTAATTTCCAAAGTGTCATCTAAATTTTACCATTATCTAATTCTTTAAGAATTGGTTTTAAGACTTTTTTCAGCAGAAGTCCTAACAAACCTGCTTCATTTAATCATTTCTGCTGGCCTTCTTATTAATGTAAAAATGGCCACAATAAAATATCTGAATTCCAAGTACTCCAAGATAAACAGTAGCTTTGCTCTCTATATAAACAGAGAATAATCAATCCTTAAGCATTTACTGAGTGTTATCTATATGCTTGTAATCCCTACCCTCAAGAAGCTTCTAGTTCAGCTGTGAAAACTGAATCTTAGTTGAAACAGCAAAGGTGTCAATCAAAGATGATGTAATTAGGTGCTAAATAATGTACTTCAGGCCATGATTTGCCACAGAAAAAGGAGGCATAGATCAATACTGAACGAAATTGTCCGAGAAATCTAACACAACATTAAACTCTCCAAATAAAAGTAAGGTCATGCCCAGTGAAAGGATAGGCTGGAAGTTAAGAACAAGAAAATGGAGTGCTGATAAGAAGGCAGCATGCATCCTATGGAGAGAGCTGGTATAAGAGAGGAGGTAAATGAAACTATGAAAAGGATGAGCTCCTCAAGAGAAAGAGTGAAATAAAGGAGAGAAATAGGATGTGAGCTTTCTGAGAAATAACTTATACATTTCTGAAGGTAACAGGAAACAGTCTTAGCTGATGATGCAGTAGTGAAAGGGGAGGAACTATGAGTTAAATTCCTCTGATGTACACAGAGATGTTCAAGTGAGAATTCAGTACACATAGGTATACAGGACTAGGCTGAGAGAGTCAGGACAAAAATAAAAAAGAAATGAGAAAATTTAAGAAAGAGCCAAGATTTTCTCAATGAAGCCAGAGATACTTTAAAAAATAATTAAATGTCAACACTTCTACTCAGGCAAATTTCTAAGAATCTGACACTTGTATATAATGACAAATGTAAAACCTTTTAAAAAAAAAAGGTTTTAAAATGCCATTTAAAAACCTTCAATAGTTTTTTTAAAACCCACTCTTTAAAAAAGCTTAAAGGCCAAACTGCTTAGCCATACATTCAATAATCTGACCCCAAACTACTTTCCCAAAGCTTTATCTCCTACTGTGTCCATTCACTGGAACACAGACCTCCAGGCTAGCAAACCTGCTCCTTGCCACCAAGTAGATTCTGTCTTTGCCCTCCTGTCTACATGTGCACAACTCCCAAAGTTAAAACACAAAATGAAAACAACTGGGCTACCTGTTACAGGAATGCAAAAATGAGTAAGACATGAGTACCCAACATCAGGGAGCTTATGGTCACAAGACTATCTTAATCCTCCGAAGCATCAAGGTTCAGCTCAATGCCCATCCATTATCTTCCACTAACCATTTTCTTCTAATTCCTGAGTATTCTGCTACTAATCTGGGTCCATCATAAGCAACCTAGATTAATAGCTTACTAAGTCTACCTATAATGTGCCTGTCTACTGAAACATAAGCTCCATGACAGCAAGGATTACATTTTATATCCCTTTGTAAACTCTATGTCCAGTATAGTGCCTGAAATCCAGGAAATGCTCAATAATAAGGTGGTGGTGTGCTGCTGCTCTTAAGTATAAATGCACTTTCAAATGAAAAATTAATCTGTTCCTCCCTGGCTATGAAACAGAGAAGCATAATTTAGGAAATTCATCACTCAGGGCTGTGGTGACACTGTTACCAGTTGAAACTATCTCTCTACCTCGACTGGTCTTTTTCCCTCTTCATTGCAGGCAATGGTGCTGACAGTAAATATTAAAGTTAGAACTGGGTGCACCCTGTAATTCTGACCTGTCTTCATATATACACGATGGTAATCAAGACACTGGGTTTTACTAACGCTAACTAATTATTGTCCTTCAAAGCGAGGTGAGACAGACTTCTGTTCATGAGTTTGGTAATGCCCCCTGGCATTAGACTCTGTGAGGCTTTGCCTCTGTGTATGTGAGCGCGTTTCCCCACGCGCTGTCTGCATTAACTGCCATTCAACAGCATTCACTGCTCTTACATTGAGCACTGTCCTTACCGTCAGCTGTCTACCTACATCTCACGCGTAAAGTTAAGTAAGCCAATTTTTAGAAGCAAGACATTCCTCCTTCAAATCATTTCTCTGTGTAGGGAGATCTTTATTGCACATACTAAAACCTATCCCACTCCATATTTAGAATCAGCAAAAACTTACTAATAAGAGAAGGTTTAGGGTTTTATGAGACCAAATGAATGAACAGCAGTGAGATGCAAAAAGCAAGACTTCCCTGGATACTTTTATGCTTATTAAAAACAATACCTCCACAGATGATGAGTGTCCAATTAAATCTCCAATAAGCTCTAGTGAACAGGAAGTGGCATTTTCTTGTTGCTTTTTAACAGGATGGCTGGCTTGTTTATTTACTCTTCCAAATCCCCACATGTTAAAAAAACCTAAAAAACACAACCATTTTAATCATCCTCAAAATTAGTATGCTTCCCTTGTGGCTCAGCTGGTAAAGAATCCGCCTGCAATGCAGGAGACCTGGGTTCGATCCCCGGGTTGAGAAGATCCCCTGGAAAAGGGAACCCACTCCAATATTCTGGCCTGGAGAATTCCATGGACCATATAGTCCATGGAGTTGCAAAGCGTTGGAAACAACTGAGTGACTTTCACTTTCCTTAACAATAATAATGTAAGATCAGAAAAACAAAAGTTAAATGCAAAGGTGTTTCTCACTTTAGTCAAGGGCTAATAAGTGAGCAGATGATACCAGGCACTATGCTAGGGTTTTTTAAATATGTTGCTTCATTTCCTCTTAGCTACCCACGTTTGTTGCTCAGCTCTTCTTATTGCCCCTACGCACGCACTGCTAAAGGTGTGTTTACATGAGAAAAAGGCAATGGAAATCAAAGAGGAGAGAAATGAAAGGGCTGAATGGCAGTGTGGGGTCAGGAAGGTCACAACTTAAGGACAGACGAAAAGCAACATATGTGACAATACCCTATGACTTCAAATAACCAGAAGAAACTCCAAGGGTACTGGCATTTGATTTCTTATGTGAAGGCTGCTAATTAACCAGGATTTTGTTTTTCAAATCAAGCACCAGAAAATCAAAAACTCAAGAGATTAATGATATAAATACAAAAAAGTGCTTGTTTATAAATTGAGTTCAATGTTAATGCTTCAAGGCTGAAGAACTTTGACACCTGATGGTACACATTATGTTTATATACCAGACATAATTACAATATATTGATAAATAGCTAATTAGGCCATTTGGTCAGTCAGGCAAGAATACTGAAGTGGGTAGCCATTCCCTTCTCCAGGAGATCTTTCCAACCCAGGGATCAAACCTGGGTCTTTGCATTGCAGGCAGAGTCTCTACCATCTGAGCCACCAGGGGAAGCCCATTTGATGAGTCAGATCAGTTAGCTTCCCCTCAAAGAACCCTAGCTGACTTGAAATAAAGAGGCGGTCCTGCAGTAAGTATTAACATGTGAATCCCCCACCCCGATTCTCAAATGCTTCATGTAAATATGCTTATTTGGAGCACACTGTCTATTATTCCTGTGGTTACACGTAACTGCCTCTCGTCTGTCTTTCATATGGGAAAAAAGCAAGACCACCTTTTGGAGAGAAGATACACACCCGTTGGCACTGGCTCCACGGAAAGCTGCTGTTTTTCTCGTAGCTCCCAAATGCGTACACTGCCATCTTCTGAGCATGAAATAACCTGCCTGTCAGAAGAGAGAAAGAGCACCATGGAGGGCAAGTGCTCAAAGTGCAGGGAAAACAATCAGTGCAGCCTTTAACTGCTTTCTTCCAGCTCTTGGCAAGAGCTGATAAACAAAATCACAATTTAACATGGCTTTACAGTGCAAAGTGAAACACTCTTCAGGAAAGGCATGCATTATAGTGTGAGACTGGCTCAAATGCTACAATCATGTATCACTTCCATTTTTAAAAATGCATGCAGGAAAAGAGGTTATGAATCACACTCTCACAACATCCTGAGAAGCCCCATTCCTTTCTCTCACCTCCCACTCTGAAAGCATCCTGCAGAGTCAGTACTGCCGTGCTGTGCTTAGTTGCCCAGTTGTGTCCAGCTCTCTGCAACCCCGCAGACTGTAGCCCACTAGGTTCCTCTGTCCATGGGATTCTCCAGGCCAGAATACTGGAGTGGGTTGCCATGCCCCCTCCTCAAGGGGATCTTCCCAACCCAGGGATCCAACCCAGGCCTCCCACGTTGCAGGCAGATTCTTTACTAGTTGAGCAACTAGGGACACGTCCAGAAAATCTACCATTTCCTTCATATAATTCATCCCTAGAAACTCAATGGCCAAATCTGCCCTGAGAGAAAAGCCCTCAGTTAGTAGTCTCAGCCAACAAAGAGACTACCATTTAATCTGGCCATAAACAGTACCAACAAAAAGGTGGCTTTGTGGAAAATATTAAAAAATTAGAACATAGTGTCCAAAAGTCTTCTATTAAAATAAATACCAAATTTTAAATTCTCTCTTCTTACAATGAAATTCAGTATAATTTGTTTGAACCCTGCTGTTCGTAAATTTTGTAATATATGGCCACAAACTCTTCTGTTAGAGATAGCCATAGGGTATTCTCCATTTTCAAAAGAACCTGTTGGTCAAGCAACAGAGCCAGGTGACTTGCCCCTTGAGCAATTACACTGGTGGCCCTGGGAACTATGCATTTCTTTTACCTGTTATAGAACATATGGAAACGTGTACCTGTTTGGGAGTTTCACAACGTGCAGGACACTGGAGTCATGAGCAGTTTTCTGGCAGGCAATCACACGCTTCATCTGAAGGTTATACACGTATAAACCCCTTCCAACTGCAACAAATACATTCTGGGGGAGATAAAAGGTCAGAAATGCACATAAAACTAACACCACTACCCGATGTAACAGATTTCCAGCCTTGGTGTGAGATCACAAAGTCCTTGTTACCTTCCTTAGTCCTAGCCTTCAGCCCAAATTACTGTACTGCCCTCTAAAGTCCAAAAATATCAAAGCACAAAGGAAAGCTAAGCATTTAGAAGGTCTAAGGACACGACTGCTAATACAGAGCGAACTCTATGTGTTAACACCCTGCAGCATCCTCGCCTTCCTTACTGAAACGTGACAGCTAGAGCAGGGGCTGTGGCTGGAAGACTGGTGCAATAGAGGTGGAGCTGCTGGGGTACAACCTGGATTTTCATTCACACAATACTGTATTGTTGGGAAACCACTTAGCTTCTTCTGCCTGAAAAATGTGAGCAACATCACTTGGGTTCCACAACTTAAGCATCACAAGAACTATGAAGTATACAAAACAGCATATGCTAGAGTGGCAGAGAGATATATATATTGGTTTCACAAAAACATTTTTTCCAGTTCTACTAAATTTCCATTTTTCCTTTCTACTAAAACAGCTTTAATCTTTTGAAAGTACTTTCACCAATATTTATCTTACTTCAGCTTCACATCTCATTAATGAAGGAAAAGCTATTTTGCAGAATAACAAGTCAAAACAAAAGATTAAAGTCACACAAAAAATGAAGACATGAGAGGTGGTATTAGAATTCAGATCATGTGACTCCAGTTCCTTACTCTTGCCTCATACCATACCACATAGCTTCTGAACCTATTTTCCAAGTCACTAGACTTCTGGTGGCTCTCATCTAAGAATCATTTATTCTTACTCAGTAGATGTGCCAGTGAGACAGACCTTTCAAAAATCCTTTTCCCTTCCTGTTCTCACCATAGAACATTTCTCATGCAGCCTCAAAGGCTATAATGCCAATTCAGACCTATAGTATCTCGACCAAACATGCCTCCAAGGCTTACCAGAGTCTAAATTTGGAATGACTCCCTTGACCCTCGGGACTGGTGTTCTGCACACAGCAATGCTAGCTAAGGGCCAGTGCCAGGCACAAAAATAAAAACAGCTGGCAAGCTTGCTAAAATCTAGAGCCCTGGGAAACATTCAATGCAAAGAAACTCCAGAAAGGAGCTTATATGGACCAGGAAATCTGTGCAGAGTTCAAATGCTTTATCCAAATTACAAAATTATAAATACAACTAGAGAATTAATAAGCTTTGGGGCAGTGTTTACTCAATAGAATCACTCTATCAATCATTGTCATTAACAATAACTGACCCCCTTGTAGAAAGAAAAAAAAACTTTTATAAAAGAAAGAAAATGAGGGAAAACTGAGTAATGCTTTATGAAGCATTTAATAAACATCAAAAATTAAAGATTAATTAAGATTAAAGAGAATGCAAAATGAAAAAACTTTAAGCACTAATTTTTACAACAATAAGAAAAAGGTATCAAATTAAAAATATAATTTTTAGGGCTACAACTCTTAGAAATCTAGTTTCTATCTTTCCTGAGGCTATTGTTTTTATCATATATATTTACTCTTTTTTCCCCAAAAGTAAAGTTAGAATATAAAGAAACTTAATCTTTAGGTACAACAATGTTCTTTACCTATTCTTACTCTATTCTATTTTGGTTTGGTTTTTAAAGTAAGAGAGGTTCAAAGACAGCCAAAAAAAAAAAAAAAAAGTGGACCACGTTCTCCCCGTCCAGAACACTATTACTCATTTTTAAAATAAAAATTAAAAAGCATACAATTATCAGATTTAAAGAGTATAGGGAGACACAGAATAAAGTGAGGTAACAGCCTCCTCTAGCCCCTCTCCTTGAAGTTTACAACTCAAACATTTCTTGTGATTAGATTTAGAAAAATAACCCCATTTTAAATATGTTTTCTGAGCTCCTAAAGCTAGAAGAAGAGGTGTTCAGATCAGAGCCAAGATTCAGAAATCCATTGGTACTAATCTCTTACTGCAATAAAAGATGTAAAGTGCTTCAAGAGCAACCAGCCTGAAGGACTGAAATCTGTAATTCTCACACAATCACCTTGCCCCAGGATACTAGCAGACTAAAAGAAAGGCATTCCTGAAGTTTTTAATTTCCTTCACTTCTCCAGGAAATGCACCAGAATCTTGAAAAGGATTCTTTCTCAAAGTGTTCCTTAAAACAATTTTAAGCATTATCCTCAGATCCTATGGGAATATTTAATACGGCTCAAAACTTCAATGGGTTCTAAAATCTGTGGCCATTTAATCACCTCCTTGCCTCAAAGATAAGAGGCAAGGAGGTGATAAAAGATTAAAATGCTTTTTTTTTTAAAGCAAATGATGTAATCTTTGCAATACATCAAAACATTTTAAAGCACAACTTGGACGCAAGGAATGACACCTTTCTATATCATGAGATTAAATTTTCCCAATTAGAAACTGAGTTTAGTAAAAGATGTTAAGATTATGGAAATTTTCTCAACTTTTTTTACCTCTTCATCCCATGTGAGATGACGGATAGAAACGTCATTTGGCTTTTGACAGAGTTTTATTTCCCGCTGAGCATCCAGCTGCGGAGATGGGTCCCAGAAGTTGCGTTCACAGGCCTGCACGGTCCAGCCCAGGGTGTCCCAGACGATGAGTTCCCCGACATGGGAGCCAGATACAAAACTCACATCTAGGCAGAGTTCATATGTCTCTTTATTGATCATTCACCTAGGCTACAGTAAAAATGAATGAACTGCCTCGTAGTATTGCTCTATAAAATCACAGTATTAACAACAGGGAGGTAACTCAACAAGCCAAATAGGAAGATTAACAGAACAGAAAGACCAGAAATAAACTCAAGTTTACTTACACATTTAGTAATAATAATAATAACTGCTTTTCAATTCAATCAAGAAAGAAAGAACTCATGCTGGAATACTTGGTTAAGTATTTGGGGAACAAAGACAAAGGAATTTTACCTTGGATCATATACAGTTAAGAAAAAGTTACACTTGTGTTTCTCCTTTACTCCCACACTCACAACATGCCTGAAACCAATGTGTGGGGGTTTTCCCCACAGCAAGTAGTTAAGCGACACCAGCTGAATACCCCTACAGTTTAACTCGGTTTTGGCACCGTCTCCCTGGAAACAGTGTCAGTCCCCACAGGCTAAGGACTCGGTTCGGCAGGACTTCTCTCACTCCAGATGCTAACAGCAAACCCAGGCTGTTACCCGTGTTTCTACCTGACTGTAAGTTGGAGAGTCCCACATCCCCTCCTCAGGTTCAGAGCAGCTCACAAAACTCAGGACAGCAATCTACCTGCTTTCCACTACTTTATCACACAGGGTATGCCAAAAGACAGATGAACCTCCAAGGGAGGAGGTGCACAGGGCGCGGTGTGTGGGAGGCGTCTCAGAGCACCCACACTCTCTCCAGGCAGGCCATTCTCCCAGCACCGCCACATGTTCAGCAACCCTGAAGCTCTCTGAACCCCAAACTGTTGGAATTTTTATGGGAACTTCATCACACACACATGACCAATGACTGACTAAAGATATTTGAAACAACCAATTGGGGACTGAATAAATAAATAAGACATCCATGAAATGAAACAGTAATGCTGTTATCAAAAACTAAGTTGTAAAAGTATGTTATATTAATACAGAAATATATTCATGACATGCTGTTACAAAAAGCACACCATATGTATATATGCCCAGAAAAACACCTAGAAGGACATGAACCTGTACTTAATACTATATGAATAATTTTCATTTTCATTTTTACATTTTTATGTTTCTGTTTCCTCATTTTTCTATTATGACTATGTATTACTCGCACAATAACAAGTTTTTAAAATGTTTAATGAAAATGAAATTTGTGGACTAAGACACTTCACAAATTATATATTTAAGGAAAATGTACAACTGCTAAGACTAAAAACTAACATAAAGAAATGTGATTTAATTCCTTTATATTTAGAGGAAGGTGAAGCACAACAGTGCACTGTGAGTCTAGAAACTCAAGTTTTAGTTTTGACTCAGCCTGTGGCCTTTAGAAAGTCATTTAATCTTTTTCTATCTTGGATTTCTTAGGCATTAAATGAAGATGACTGTAGAAATAAATAATAAATGTGTAGCCATTTTAAAAGACACTGAATGTTATCTTTTGAGTCCCTGGTTTTATTTTGAGCCCCTGGTATTATTTTATATTAATGGTATTAAAACATCCAGTTACTTGTAATTTAGGAATACATGGATGAGTAATTATGATTTAATTATCTCATTTGACAAATAAACCAGGACAGAAATCTCCAATAACTAGATGAACAATCTCTTCAAAATAAAGAATTATCAGCAATCATACAGGTAAATAGTATTTTTCCTTGGTTCCAAGTCCAGTTTCCATAGTTTATTAACAGACTCTCTGGAATCCAATCTGTGAAGAATTAAGTTCATTTCTCATCTATGGAGAGAAAAGAGGCTTCTAGGTCTATTAGTGTGAAAGTGTTAAGACAGCAGTAATCTTTCCATGACTTTCTTTTCCATCCCTTTCCTTCCTCTTTCCAATTTCACTCAAACTACAAAAGAACCAGAGACATTAACAAGTGAAGATTCTTCTTGACTCCAGCTCTGCATGTGTCATCATAATAGAGCTAACCTACTGAGACCACACAGCTGCCTGCTCTGATCTCCGCCAAGTGTCTGTAATTCATCTAGGCAATAGAAGCAAAGTACTTGAGCCCAGTTATAATTTTTCACTAGAAACAAAATGCTGACACTGACCTGAGTCGGTGCAGTTTATTGCTGTGTAAATTATCCCAAACTGGTCATTCGAAATGTCTCACACCAAACAACCTCAATGATGTATTGTATGTGGATGGACTTTGATCCTCAGGCAAGTATCAGAAGTCACTTAGTATGAAAATCTCACCTGAAACCTGTCTAACCCATCCCTCAGAAGTACTAATACTTTGTGACTACCACATCATGCTGTCAGCATAAAACGAGAAAAGGAATAGAATAAAGCAGCAGCACCTAGAGCCTTCTGCCAGAAGAGAGAAGCAAGGTTACCTTGTATGTTGGTCTTAGACAATCTCTGCAGAGGCACTCAGAGCTCTTGGGCAAACCCGGTATTCATTATCCACATTTGTGGGAGTTCTGCTATAAACAAACGTTCTGCTAAGGTTGTCCTAGCACCAACTCACTGAACATGCACTTTCCCTGTGAGTTCTAGACCCAGTAACTGGCCATATCTTTGACTGGCAACTGGTGGGGATAAAGCAGCAGGGCTGAGGGTGGAACTGGGAGTTGTACAACATAATCATTTCAGGATGGCTAAAATCTGCAGCATGGCAGACATCTATTATGAGAGAATGTCACAATACCATTCTCAAATTTTACCAGACTACTCATCCATAAATGATTCCTAAATATGCTTTTGGCTTGCTAGCGTTCTGTAGTGTAATTTTATAGTCATAAAAGTAAAAAGTACCAGGGGCTTTCTGTCATTTCTATTAACAAATTATTTTGTGTCTTAGCTTTCCCTTTTCCTTTACTTAAGATGTTGGCAAAGAAAGACTTGACGAGAGCTTTCTTAATTAAACTGTTCTAAGTATCTCTGTACATCACAGAGATGTACAGAGAAGTGCCATAAAGCTGAGGCTCTCTCAGTAACATCTCCTCAACTTCCTTAAGGAAATATGCCAGGTCCTGGTCCTAGTATGTCACTGCTAACACGGGACAACCAGGCGTGACCACTGTAATGGCCAGAACACCGCTGTGCTCTTCCCAACAGCTCCCGCCGTGGGGCTTCTGGCTCAGTGTCAGAGGGACTTCCAAACAAGAGCCTGCCTTGTGGGCTGCCATCATGGCTAAAGGGAAAAAAGTCCCCAGAAAAAAAACAAAAGGGGTGCTCCTAACATTGTTATTTCTATCATACAGATAATCTAGTCCTCAGAAAGACTTGCAGTTGGGTTGAACAAGTAAGTCGCTATTAGAGAGGAAGATTCTGTAGTTGGGAGGGCCCTTCTCACTGATGGAACTTAAAATGCAATTGATGGCCTACAAATGGAGATTACACTTAGTACTGCTTGTGTCCCTTCCCTCTGCCTCATGTTTCTACAAAGTATTGCTCAGAAAGAGCCAACCTAGGTCAGCGGGTGCAGTGGATTCCCCCTACAACATATGCACAGCCTCCTCACAGGACCCTCTTACAGTCTCCTCCAGACTATCAAACTGAAGCCACCCAGGAGTCCTCCATCTGACCTCAGAGCCCAGACCACCCAGGACAGCCCTGATGATATAAGGTATCAGTTTATTTGAAAGTAAAGTAGCTAAATCCCAGGATTTGTGGTTTGTGATCCTATCCTGTCATCTGATGTCAGGTTCATCTCACAGGAGATACTTATTAAAATCATGATAAAGCCAAATACAAAGTCTGGCAAACCAAAACACACAGCCATGAGGAAGGGCAGGTATGATCCATTTCTGCAGACCTTTAGTTTGGTGTTATTCTCTGGCTTTTCAATGACGGACTGAATCCAGCTCATTCTACTGTAAATAGAGTGGTATATAATTTTGTCCTGTGTGATCTTCAAAAGAGAAAAGAGCCAGAACCATTTGCCCCCAAAGCCAAAATGCTACCAAGCATTAGTACTGATAGCCTACAACAATCATCCCACAGCTGCCAAGTAACCCCTGAGGTAAGTATGCTGTCTCCTCCATCACCCCTTTTCTCTGCCCAACTCCATCCTTCCCCCGTGCCTAAATCTAAGACCTTCCAATCTATGAAACTTGATGAATTCTACTGGTTTAAACCTCAGAAAATAAGACTGCCAATCTCTCCTTATTAATAGCATCATTTTCATGATAGTAATTCTAGAATCCTATGACAGAACAAGACTGAAGTTCGAAACAGGTTAACAAGTAAAAACTTTACATAATATAAACATGGACCCAGTGAGCTTACCATCGACATTAAGCAGTGAGAGAATATTGTCTTGATGATCAAGGAGGCGCTTAACTTCAAGAATATCCCATCCCAGTGATCCCTCTGTGGGCGCTACCAACCTGAAAATTACTAAGTGAAAAGACCGATATAATTTTATTAAAATAGTCAAAGAAGATAAGGTTCCATTTCTGCTTAAAAAACTAATATTTCACTAAGTGACAAATACCTAAATACTGAAAAAACCCATCTCCAAAGACAGTCTTGTTCATGCTACTTTCTTTCTTTCAAATCCTTGAGATGTTTGCAATGATCTACTAAAATCCCGAGCGTGACCTCAGAACTCTGTTCCTTTATTAAAACTCTTCTAAACCCCCACCAACCATCAAGTCCCGTCCTCCCTAAGCCTTCAGTGCATGGCCAGCTCTCCCACCTTACTCTCCCCTTAGCCAGCGCTGGTCCGGATGCCTGAATCACCCCCAACCATTAGCCTTCTCTCCTCATGCCAGGCCAGGAAGTATTGCTGCAAAATAAGCTATAAATTTGTGCTTAACCTCAAACTGGTGAAGACCTCAGCAGTTTTTACTTATTTATTTACTTTTCTTGATATCTAAACTTACACCATTAAATTACAAATTCTCTGAGAGGATATGCCTTATAATTTTCGTGAGTTATGCAGTTCTTTTGGACTGTAGTGTTGCTTTACTCAACTGAGTTTAACAGTTTTATATAAACTTGTATTAATCCTAACATTAATCAATATAGAAAACTCAAAATCAAATTAACTGGAAAGATCAATAAACAAACATTTACTGAACACTTATGATGATGCTCCAGGAACTTAGATATTATATGTGACTAGGTTCCAGTTACTGCCCTGAAATACTCATTGAGAGTGGGAGTGAGCCTTATAAACCAGCTCAGAATCAATGCAGTCAGTGCTGTAACAGGCCCCAGCACCAAGTGCTGTGGATGCTCACAGCTTAGAAAAACTAGTATCCCAGAGGTCATATTCCTCCCAAGTGATGGCTTATTACTAAATTTCTCTTCTTTCTCACACTTCTCTCTGGAAAACAGATCACACCACATTTCCTTCTGTCTCTGGGCACATTTTACCAAATGACAAACCTCTACAAAGGTTATTTAATACTGACAGCCATTCACATTGAAATTGTGGTTGTCAGATGAAGAAGGTCTTTCCGTCAATACAAAGGGGTCTCTTTCTGACACCTAGCAAAGTAGAGTGAAAATTCTACTTTAGTTGGAATACTACCAAATGATGCTGCGATTGAGATTACAGAATAACAAGCAAGGTACTGTACTGTTTAATCCAACTAACAGGGAGAACAAACTGAAATACTGACCAAAAAACTACAAAGTACTAAAGATAATGTGAAACTGTTAAGTTCATAAATATAGTCTCTATAGTCAAGTATTCACAAGGGTCACATATGTAATAACTTCAAGGAAATAAACATTAATTAGAAGATAAAAGAAAAGCAATGGTCACTTCTAAAAAAGGGTTAACAGAAAAATCTTGAACTTTTGAACCAGGATAAGTACTCAGAATGATGATAGTCCTGCCCAGCTAATAAAAGCCTCAAAGTAACTGCAGGCAGTGCACACAGAAATTTTATTTCCTGTTGAGAAGATTCACGTGAGAAAAAGAGAGGGACAGGGGCACAAGCTTAGTCTTAGAAATAGAAAACATAGTACATTTAGAGGAATAAAACTTATTTTTCATAAGGAAAATGGCACTACATATTTACTTCATGAAAAAGTTGAAGTGAAAGTCACTCAGTGGTGTCCAACTCTTTGCAACCCCATGGACTGTAGCCCGCCAGGATCCTCTGTCTATGGAATTCTCCAGTATTCTGGAGTGGGTAGGCATTCCCTTCAGGGGATCTTCCCAACCCAGGGATAGAACCCAAGTCTCCCACACTGCAGGAGGATTCCTTAGCATCTGAACCACCAGGGAAGCCCTATTTTAAGGCTAAGTAAAATGGAAATCCTCATTTTTAAGAATATTTGTATTTTTTATAAATTATTTTGAACAAAACCAACTTTAATTTCTTCCCTTTTTAAGATGATATTCTAATTTCTGCTGAGGCATCAATGTTATTTTTATTACTATTTGAATGAATTCACTAATTCATTCAATAAAAATCTCTTTATTTGTTAGGAGAAAGATTAAGAAAGTTTCAGTCACCACGGCACTAATATTCTGAAGGGGCGCGACAAAGAGAGACCAAAAAGCAAACATAAGTTTTTAGAGAAGTAAGTTAAATGACAGACATGAGATTATGAGAATACACAGGTAAAACCTCTGGGAGGGGAGATATAAGGAAAGCAAGACTTCATCCTTGAAAAAAGAAATACTAGAGCTGCGCTCTTAAAGAGTAAGTAGTAATGAGCCGGATTAAAGAGGACAATGAATTATGTAGTCAAGTCCAATACGGGTGACAAGAGAAAGGACGGCACAGAGGAGAGAACCAGCTCGGGCTGCGGGCTCAGGGAAATGAGGATTAGCAGCAGTGAGACAAGACGAGGGAAGCAGGGGGAGATCATGGAAGGCATGATTTGATATGCTGAAAGGCCTGGACTTCATCTTGTAGGCAACTGGTGACCTTACATTCATCCCTAGGGCAAAGATTTGTTTTATCTGGAGCAAAAATGTGAGAAAAAATAAGGCTACATAAGTTTGTTTGTTTTTTTAACAAATCTAAATGTATTCAATTTAAAGCCCTATACTTTTTTCCTGAGGTCATCTTCTTCATATTTTGTTGTTAAAAAGTTATTTTTTCAAAATGAGGGTGGTAAACGGTAGCTTATTTTGTTTCCAGTTTGGGGTTTTCAATGTTTTCACTAAACAAAACAAAAATTGGCAACTCTATGTTGATCTCCACAAGTCTGACTTTGGTACTAGTCAGAAACTTGAGAGTCCAGAAATAACTGATGTAGGCAACAGGAAGCCACTGACGCTCTGAAGCCTGCATTAGATGGATCCCTCTATCATCTGATAGAGAATGTATCCAAAAGCACTGAACTAGAGGAGAAAGCTTTGAGAAGCACTAAAACAGAAAAGGGAACGGCCATACCTAACCAGCCAACCAAGCAGGCTATATCATGGTGGATTAATTTCACTGGTATCCAAATTTTGATATGGATTCAAACAGTCACAATATTTGTGCAACAATTTGCAAGTATCTTAAATATACGCAAACAGTCACATAAATTAGAAATGTAAGGGCTTCCCTGAGGGCTCAGCAGATGGGGAATCCACCTGCAATGCAGGAGACACAGGAGGTACAGGTTCAATCTCTGGGTCAAGAAAATCCCCTGAAAAGGGAAGTGGCAACCTACTCCAGTATTCTTGCCTGGAGAGCCCTTATGGACCATGGATGGAGGAGCCTGGCAGGCTACAGTCCAGGGGTTTGTGAAGTGTCAGACACGACTAAGCATGCAGGCATGCTGAATATGCATATACTTAAAAGAGATTTTCTTTTATTTGCTACTAACTCTGTCATGGGATGATTATTTTTGGACACTCTGGGCATGCATGCTCAATCATGTCTGACTCTTTTGTGACCCTGTGGGCTGTGGCTTGCCGGGCTCCTCTGTCTACGGGGTTCTCCGGGCAGGTATACTGGAGTGGACTGTCATTTTCTTCTATAGGGGATCTTCCTGACCCAGGGATCCAGCCTGGGCCTCCTGCGTGTCATGCACTGGCAGGCAGACTCTTTACCACTGAGCCACCTGGGAAGCCCTTTGGACACGCCACATTATATATATTTAGACATCTTACTAATACTTCATCATTATCTGAATACAATAATCTTTCGTAAATATTTATACTTTCAATGTGTTCTCCAGACAACAGCAATGGCTAAAATATAGTTTGAGCATTGTTAAGTACACATTCAAAAAAATAAATAAAGTAGAGGAACGAAAATAAGTCAGGAGACTATCATAACAGACCAACCAGGCAAAAGAGATGAGTACCTGAACAGAGCAACACTAGTGAGATGGAAAGAAGTGGATCAAAATATTTAGAGCAGCCGCCCTCAAAGAATGGCCCCAGACCAATCACCTTAGCACTCCCAGTACGTGTTAGAATGCAGACGCTCAGGCCCCACTCCAGAGCTAGTGAACTAGAAACTCTGGGAGTAAGGCCCAGTATTTTGTGTTCTTAACAAGTCCTTCAGGTCATCCTCATGCACACTACATTTTGAAAACCACCGAATTAGAGTAAAACCAGCATAACACAAGCAATTGATTAGCAACAAGAGGAAAACAGCAGGGAAAAGCGAAACATCTTTCCAGCACAATAAAGAACATGGGAAAACTGAATTTCTGCAAGGAAGAAAAAAAGAAAAAAACACTACATTTTATCTTTAGAAGCCGCTTTATGAAAAGAAAGCATAAGCATTGGATCTAGAAAATTACTTCTCAGACATGACTATACAGGGAAAGTTCAGTTGAAGAAAGAAAAACTTGACTGCAAAGCAGAAGAGCCTGCAGATAGGCTCATTTCTCACTGGCATTTGCAAACACGCAAACTGATGATCACAGTCAATCTCGAGACTGGTCTCTAGAAGTAGCAGCACAAGTAATATCAAATGCCCTCGGGGCTTCATTAGACAAATTCCTCAAGAAAAAAGCAGGTTTTAAAAAGCAACTCCATCACTTCTCAGCACACGATTTTTATCCATAAGGTAATGAGCATAATAGGCTTGTCTTTTCTTTTTTTAAACTGCAGACTCCTGGCAGTAAATGAGTGAGCCAATAGTCAACAGTTAAGAGACTGGCCTTCAAATGGCATTTTTATAATCAGTTAGTACATTCACAACATTCCTCTTGTTCTCCCTCCTTCTGCCATCCCACTAATCTGAGGGAAATGGTATAAACTCCACCTTCCAATAAAATGGGTCCTACTCTGGTTTCCTCAGGCAAAAACTCCACAGCTCCTGTCTTACTGAACTCTCATAACCCTCTTCCAAACCCAGCTTGTTTTAAGTTTTTAGAATGCTGGTAGTTGTTTTATGTAGCTGAAGTTTTTGCTGAGTGAGTGAGTGTGGGTCATCAGCAGAGGACTGTGGGATGTAAATGGCCCTCCCCAGCATCAGAGGAGTAGGGTTACCTTGCCCACTTGCCTATGCTAGACCAAGTATGGTGCAAGAACCGACCTAACATCTTGAAAATGTCTCAGGTTCCATATCACTTCAATAACCCCAGGAGGCCAAGACTGGGGCAGGGAAAGATGTCCTTTAAATAAAAAACTGAATTAGTCTTTCCGAAATGTTTACACAAGGCTAGTTTAAAATTTTAAAAAAGAAGAAATAAAGGGGGAAAAAATCATACTCACTCAGTTCTTTGCCAACTGCTGCCACAACACAGTTCTTAGGTATTTCAATCAAAGCACTGATCCCTTCAAAAACATATAAAACAAAAGTTAAACTATCTTCTTAATGGATTAGATCAAAAACATTTTCAGATTTATATTAGTCATTTCTTCAAAGGGGATGGTAACAATAAAGCTCACACAATTCGCTATATCACACTTGCATGTGAAAGTGACTTTGTGAAGTCAGTAAGATCTCTCGAAGTCTTTATTGATTTATGAAGGGTAGAAAATGCTCTTTGAATATTTGTACTATTGTGGTGAACTTATTTACCAGGGACCCCTTAAGGTAATCATCATCGCCACTTACAAGATGGCTAGCTCAAATGGAATACAAAATTGGCATTTTTCCTCAATGTAAATTTAAGAAGACTGGGTGAACTCCCTGGCAGCAAATAAATGAGCCAACAGTAAACAGCTAAGAAAGTGGCCTTCAAATAGTATGTTTATAATCAACCAGTACATTTACAAAATTCCTTGTATTACTAGAATAATCAGATTCAACATTCCATCACATTTCACTTATTAAGCATACAGTGCTAAGTACATTTTTTATAGCTAAATCATGAATTGATTTTAGGATAACCACAACTTCTGTAACATATGTTATAATGATCACTTTTGTCAGCAAAAATTAAAGAATTCACGTGTTAGATTTAGAATTACCATATGTGTTGGCACAAAACTTGTTTACTAATGTTAACTTTTCCCTTATAAAACATATGTAATTTTTATATAGTAATTCATAACACATATGCCAATTGGGAAAATATTCTCGTCTGCTTTGCCTCCCCACTTGGGGAGTATTTCTGGCCAACATCTTTCCTCCACATAGGTCTTACCAGTATGTTTTATATTTTTCCATTTCTCAAGGACAGGGCGTAGATGGTAGAGGAGGAGAAGCGGAAGCAGTAGTGTACAGGATAAAGTAGCAGAAGAGACAGGAGAGCAGGGGAAGGGAGAACAGCAGAGACTTCCAGATGCAGAAAACAGCTTGTTAAAAAATGTTGATTACTTATGAAATAAACTTACTATAAGCTCAATAATCCAGAAGGAGCAACTTAATACACAGAATCACAGAACATATTGTTGGAAAGGGCATGGATGTCCTGTTTTCTAGTCCAAGGCTCCTTCCATTTTATCATACTAAGATTATTTTTGCTTATTTCCAAATACATAACTGCCCCTAAAAAGCCCTGCCAGTCCACAAATCAAGCAAGGCTTAGTGAAAGGAGTTTCATAAAATAAAGATCTAATAGTACTGCTAACTACTTGGCATCTGGTAATTTGGAAAATCCAAATCACAGAAAGCTCACCAATGGCAACTTAAGGTCTTTTAAAAGCTTTCTAACTGATTTTCTCAAAGGTTTCTGCTATCTCTTACTAATGAACAGGGCAATACTGTGACTACCTACAGTACAGTACTCAAAGTTAATTTGCAAAGGGAAGGGGAAGTGCAATAACAGGTGATTATTTCCATTAACATGCAAAAGGTCCTTTTTAGCCCTGATTTCAGTATTTCACAACAAGTGTGTGTGCATGCTAAGTCACTTCAGCCGTGTCTGGCTCTTTGCAACCCTATGGACTGCAGCCTGCCTGGCCCTTCTGTCCATGGGATTCCCCAGGCAAGAACACTGGGTTGGGTTGCCATGCCCTCCCCCAGGGGGTCCTCCTGACCCAGGGATGGAGCCCCCACTCTCACGCCTGCTGCACTGGCAGGCGAGGTCTTTACCGCCACAAACAAGATACGGGTGATCGACTGGTGAGCTGAGGAGTTAGACTATGATCCTGGTAAGGCAGGGGTTTAGCTTTATTAAGACGCTGTATTATTTTTCCAGTATTTTGTAATACCCATGTGGCGATAAGCCAATAAAGAAGTGTATATTCAACTCACAGGGCTCCTACTACTCTAAGACAACAATAATATGCTTTAATAACACAGGCATACCTTGGAGGTATTTTGGGTTTGGTTCCTGACCAAAACAAAGGAATTATCACAGTAAAGCAAGTCACACAAATTTTTTAATTTCCCAGTACATATAATAGTAGTGGAAAAGCTGGCTTAAAACTCAACATTCAAAAAACTAAGATCATGGCATCCGGTCCCATCACTTCATGGCAAATAGATGGGGAAACAATGGAAACAGTGACAGACTTTATTTTCTTGGGCTCCAAAATCTCTGTAGACGGTGACTGTAGCCATGAAATTAAAAGACACTTGCCCCGTGGAAGAAAAGCTGTGACCAACCTAGACAGCATATTAAAAAGCAGAGACATTACTTTTCTGACAAAGGTTCATCTAGCCAAAACTATGGTTTTTCCAGTAGTCATGTATGGATGTGAGAGTTGGACTATAAAGAAGGCTGAGCACCAAAGAACTGATGCTTTTGAAACGTGGTGTCAGAGAAGACTGTTGAGAGTCACGTGGACTGCAAGGAGATCAAACCAGTCCATCCTAAAGGAAATCAGTCCTGACTATTCATTGGAAGGACTGATGCTAAAGTTGAAATTCCAATACGTTGGCCACCTGATGTGAAGAACTGACTCATTGGAAAAGACCCTGATGCTGGGAAAGATTGAAGGCAGGAAGAAAAGGGGATGACAGAGGATGAGATGGTTAGATGGCATCACTGACTCAATGGACATGAGTTTGAGCAGGCTCCAGAAGTTGGTGATGGACAGGGAAGCCCAGCATGCTGCAGTGCATGGGGTCGCAAAGAGTCAGACACGACTGAGTGACTGAACTGAACGGATAATAGTTGTTAACATTATACTGTCATCTATTAAATGTGTAATAGTATTATGTCTAAAAGACAATGTATGTACCTTAATTGTAAAACACTTTATTGCTAGAAAAATATTAACCATTAGCTGAGCCTTTAGGCAGTCATTCTTTTTGCTGTTGGAGGTTGTGAAATATTACAAGAATTACCACAATATGACAGAAACACAAAGTGAACAAATGCTGCTGGAAAAATGGTGCCAAAAGACTTGCATGATGCAGAGCTGCCACAATCTGTAAAAAACGCATCATCTGCAAAGCCAAATAAAGTAAAGTGCGATAAAACAAAGTATGCCTGTATTCTTTCTAGGATGACCATGGGTTCATTTCATTACTTTTAGAAACAAAAATAGTTAATAGTGGGTCACATGATTTTAAGGTTACTGTCATTTAAATTTACTCATTTACACTTAAATATTTTTACTCTGAGTAAATTTTTATTCTTTAAGTTCCTTGATACCGATTTAAGTCAAAACTGATTTTTTTCTGAGAAAACAGAATTTGGTTTTTACATTTGCACATGAATGACATTTCCTTAGTAAAACCAACTGTAAAATGAGGGCATCCTTAGGACTCTATGCAAAGTCTGATGACCCTACAAATGAAGAAAATATTTTTGTAAAGTCATAAAGATCTGCTGCCAGGTGTCAACAGGCTCATCAAACTCAGTTTAGGACATGGTCCAGGAACATATAAGAAAAGGTTTTTCTTGTTCAGTTTTGAGAAATTCTGTTAGAAGGGGTGAAGAAGCCAAAAGAAGGGGAAACTTCTCCTTCCAATTTGAAATGGAAATATATTTTACACAACCCTTCACCTGAATTGGAAAATACGGCTACATCTTATATTCAGAATTAAAAAGAAAAGCTCCTATATTCCTATTGTATTCATGGAAAGTCTCTTTGAAGATTCACTGTGTCTTTATTTTAGAGTCTATCATGGTTCACAAGTACCTTGATTTGTTTTTACCTGTATCAGAAAGGTGACTTGTCTTACACAGAAGATCTAATTTTCGGTTCCACACACACAGGTCATTCCCACCAGAGAGCCAAACGTCTAGTCTCTGAAGAACAGCTAAACACTGCAAAATTCATGCAAAATATTTTATCAGTTTAGAAATTCAAGCATTAAGTGGTTTTAAAATATGTCCACAAGTTGATACCCTTTCCCTTCAAGAGATCAGTAATCTTCAAAGTAAATGAGGAAACACTACTTCATTTTACTAGTATCTTTCCCCAAGCCTGCTGAAATTATTGAAAAACCATGGCACTTCCTGAGAACATTTAAGGTAGTTTCTTCTATAGGAATGAAAGTAGCCAAGTCTTATCCAAGTTTGTTTCTCCAACATGTAGCAGAGTTTCTACCAATAATAAGCCCCAATTGGTATGTTTATAAAATGAACCTAAGAGCAGCCACAAAAGATTTTGTTCTGGAACTAAGTAATGACTGTTAAATTATGATTTTACAGAAAACAGACAGTGAGGCACAAATAGCTCCATGTTTCAATTTTAAAGTTAAAACAGAGAAAAACAAAAAGACTAGCTACTGCCATATCACTTGGAAAGTAGTATCCCTTCCTAGAATTACCTACTAGAAACATACTAGGTACTACCTTTTTCCTTATCTTACTATAGAGATTCACCTCTTGCTCTAATTTAAAATTCAAACATTCTAGCATTTAATATACATACTCCCCCAAAATCTAGACTTAGAAGAATCAAATGACTGTAGGTATGAGTAGAAGAAATAATTTTTAAAACCTACAAAGATAATTTCATCTAAATCATTAGATAACTTTTTCTGAAATAAAAAGATTATTACCATAAAGTATCTGATTAAGATTTTACCTTTACAGTAGACTGGAAGCATGACACTTTCTGAACTTGTCTACCAGTATCACAATCCCATTCCTAAATTTATGTTAAGAAATAATTTCTAAGCAAAATTTCAAAAACTTAATTATGAGATAACTTTTATAATTATTAATACAAATATTGCACATTTTATGTAGAAAATATATAAAGCATAAAGTATTTTGTGTTTATACTACTACAAAAATCAACTTAGCATAGCAAGCTTATAATCTAAAATAAGTTTTGATGTAAATTTTACTACAAAACCATTTGAAAATACCAACAGAATGAATGGTCTGAATATAAAATCTTTATAAAGCATTAAATATTGCACTATAAAAAATTTAACTTTTACTCTCCAAAACAGTCTATCATAATCTAATAAACACTGAACATAAAATATTTATACTAAAAACTATCACATCCATTAATTAACATTAACTGAAAGCTCCCTCAATGTGCCTGGCATGATTTTACTAGTTATCTTAATTCAAAGAAGACAGTAACCAAATACCTATATCCATATTTAAAATAATTTCAAGACCTCTCATAAAAGGTCCAAGATTAGTCTGACTTAAGGAGCATAATGATTTTCAAATTTTTCGTACCATTTCCTATGGTAAGATATACATTTTATATGAGAACACATTTACATATAAATATATATACACACACAAATATGGACTCATAAAATTAAAATTTGACCAAAGAAAAAAATCCACCCTCAGCATTTTATTAATGAAGTTATTTAATAACAAATACCCAAGCATGTAAATTTAAAATCCATTTGAATAAATGGAAGTACTAACAAAGCAACCTGAAATTATTTTTAACAAGAAAAGTCATTCAGCAAAGGAAATTATTCTAGCACTCACAGTTGAAGTTTAGACTGATACTGTCCCAGCTACCCATGTCTGTACTGTAATAGTAACTTTAACAATTATCTCTAAATAGTATTCTAGTACCTTAGGAGCAGTCTAATAAAAAGAATTTTATATTCTATTTTTGCAGAGATTATCCTGATACTGAAAACAAACAAAAGAGTTTTAGTCCATGCCTCAACAGAACAATGGTAGCACATCACTGTAACCTAAACATACTAAGTGCATTTTATGCCCCTGATTATGCAACACTGTAATCACCACAATATGTCATTTTATCTCCACCTAAATCTTTTTGTGAATTTCTACCACCTACTGGCAATCTGTCTAAAAATCACTTCAACTGACAAGCTTATGTAAATAAAGTGTGTCATAAAGTATGTCTTGGTTCTACAGAAGCCTAAGAAACACCTACACCTTTGGGCTTACTCCAAAACTCAACTTCACTAACACCTGAAGTTATTTAAATAGAATTCTCAGATAAGCACAGACTTTTTAAAGCTAATCTATGACACCTTAAAAAAAAAAAGCAATGAAAGATTATCTATAGCACTCAGCTATAGCCTTCATAGATCAAATTCCTCCTACAAATATAAAAAGGCTGTTTGTTTAAGAAAAATATTTTATGAGAGCAGTATCGCAGAGTGATTTAGAGCTCTGACTCTGCAGTCAGACTACTGCCTTTGGCCCTATACAGGCTGCATGAACTTGGGCCATTTACTTAACCTCTCTGTGCCTCTCTTATTTATAAATGAAAATAATAAAAATATTTATTATAAGGGTTAAATGAGTTAATAAATGCAAAACAGAACAATGCCTGGCACATACATGCAATTTATAAAACATTACTATGGCTGTTACATCTTAAATTTTCAACTAAAAGTATAACGAGGGAAGGTAATATACATTTTTTCATTGTTTTAAAATACTAAATATATAAAACACTGAGCACATGGTAATTCACTTTTCTGCCAGACTTGGATTGTCAGAAGGTTCTTATGGGTTGGGACTATTAAGTTTCTTTTGCGGTACAATGAGCATATAAGAAAATGTGAATTATTCTCCAGTTCAACTCATCTTTGTTTCTCTAAATTGAAAAGCAAACTGAGATGATAAATATTTTTAAGTTTACATTCTTCCATTTCCTCCATCTTTTGTAATTTATATAAAGCTGGGAAGAACAGCTTTAGTTATGGAGTTTCCATCAACAATAAGCCTTAACTTGCTACTTCCAGTCTAATTCTTTTCAGACATCTAATACTTTTAATAAGAAGCGTCTTATGAAGGCTAGAACAAAACCATTTTTGCTAAATCATGAATGTACAGACAGGCCTCAAGAGAATAAAGACTAATAATGTATGTACTGGTCCCTTGGATCACCACAGCTATTTCACTTGGTTCTAGATTTAAGGATATAATAACTGTTCTATCAGCAGAGGCCGTCAAGATCAGTTGATTTTTTTCTTCACAAGTTTCCAAACAAGGCAATGTAATAATAGCTGTTATCTTTTGAGTGTGTCCACTGAATTCCAAAAGTTTTTCTCCTGTCTGAAATATCAATAAAAATGTTAATAGTACTTTATATTTTATAACTTAATTTTAAATGACAACATTAAGCAAAACCACCAGGTAGAAAATACATACATTCCATTTGAAATTAGATTTTATAATTTAAGCAACAGGATCTAAACAGATACTAAAAGAGTAGGCTTAAACAATTTAAAATACTTTCTAACAGAAAATAGCAGATTGTTGTAGGAAACTTTAAGGAATACTCTTTCCATATGGTTTTAAGGTTATAATTATGTAAGTATAAAATATCAGTAACTTAGCAGGGAAAATATAGGGAGTCTTCATTATCCAAATATTATTATCTCCATCTTACAGCATTGCAGAAGAAAATAAAAGCCCACGTAACAGTAACAACTGGACATACATACCCAGTAATATATCAACCACTCATAAAGTCAGCACTGACTCTATTTCTAATTAATATCAACAGCTATTCCCACCCATCCAATGTCTTCATCCACCAGTCTCTCACTGACTTCCCAAGTAGTAAATACAAAAATGCAATGTAAATATAACATAAATTTCAAATCTCTCCAAGGTTGCAGGATTTCATGATGTATGAGATGAATGTAATGTTAAACTGTGTCCATCACAGGCAAAGCCATTGAAAAATGAGGATCTGATGGAGTCAGACTAGTTAACAGTCCAAACAAGGGTGAATAGATAAATGCTTCAAAACAGAATACTTTGAGAATCCAAGGATTAGGAAGAGAGGACCTAGAGAAATTTGGTAAAGCCTTAAATATTAAAAATAATAATAATAATAAACCTTTTAATACATTACTATTAAAGTGAAACATGGGAAGAATACTATGCTGTCAACAATTTAGAAAAATTCAGAAAAAATTGTCAATTTGGAAACACCTGTCTCTCACAAAAATCAACACCTGATTCATTTTCAGAATCAGTACATAGCTGCTAACTTAAATTTTGCTTAATTAAAATTAAGACATTTATTTCCATAATTTAGCATTTGTTTCTCAGAAAAAATCTTAAATAAAAAACTCTATTATGAAACATTGGTCCTCATTTTTTCATCCTAAGCAGCCCTTTTCAAACATTAATTCAGCTCAGTCTACCGATATGCAGGCTTATCTCCAGGTAATGTTTATGAATGCATACTCAACTATAGAGTCATGTCTTTGTTACATAATCCACATAGAATCAATACACACCTGGGCATTCCACACAACTACAATTCCATCATCACCAGCAGATGCAAATCTGGTTAGAGAAAAAAGGTTAAGAAAAAAAAAATCACTGATGACATTTAAGTGTTAAAATTACTAAGACTAATCAGACCTTAGGGACTTCCCTGGTGGTCCAGTGGATAAGACTCCTCGCTCCCAATGCAGGGGGCCTGGGTTCAACCCCTGGTTGGGCAACTAGGCCCCATGTCCCACAACTAAGAGTTTACATGCCACAATGAAGGCCTGACGCAGTCAAATAAATAAGAATAAAATTTTTAAAAAAGAATTACCAGACTTTATTCATAGTATTCTGACTTAATCAAGGCACATTAAGTTCTTTAAGCCAACTTAATAAATCTTTATAGAATACTTTCTAATTTTTATGTCGGGTACTGAAAATCCAAGAATGAATAAGACCATTCAGAGAGTTATAATAAATAAACTGCTAGATTAAGAATAAGGGAAATCTATAAATGATCTTTAAAGCCCTTCCTTTAAAATTATATGATTAAACCCTGAAGTGACATGAAACAGAGCTGAGGAAAAGCTACAGTGACAGGAAGTGATATTCCAGGAGTAGACCAAAGGAATCATGTCCTTAGATTCCTTATTGTCTAGGTAAAAGCATCTAGATATTTTAACTCTACTATATTTAAAGCCAGTATCTCTCAGTTCTGTGGTCTTTCCTGTGGTCAGCTCTGTTCCTCTCAGTTCTGTGGTCTTTCCCCATAAATATTGTGTCCTTTGGTTTGGAAAGTTTGGTTTCTATTTTGGTTTTTTTTTAATGAATATGCTTGAAAAAGGTAAAGGTAAGTTTGCTTCTTGGCATGAAAAAAGAATTGTAATGAACTAAATTATAGCTTTTCTCTACTCTTTACCATCCACTGACTACAGATGAAAAACAACCATCTATATTTTGTAGAGTAGAAAATAACCATGATACAAACACTATCAAGAAAAATAATTTGTACAGGATTATTCATCACAATGGCTGAATTATAATAAAATCAAGATAGCATTGTTCCTAAGCAGTGTCCCAACACAGTGGTATACAGCAGTCACACTGTAACCATGTCAACTGATTTGTTAATAATGTACTACACGAGTGTGTAAATAACTCATGGTGAATCAAAATCGATTCAAAGTTGTTCTCCTAATACCACTTTTTATTCACTTGAATTCAAGGTCTGCTTTTCTGAATGGGAAAGAAGGAAGAGGTATTATTGAGACCCAGCTATGAACTGCATCTGGTTATGGTTAATAACCATTAATAAATGGTACTCCACGAGCAGCTATGGTGTTTAGAAAATGTGTACTTTCATGCAAGATTGTTAGCATGTTTTCACAAAAATCTGGGCATGCCTTAAACATCTTCATTAAAGTAAACACTGTTAGCTGTGTGTGCGCCATTGGGAGAAAAGTAGAAAACTACTTGAGGACACAAAAACTATTAATGCTTTGGCCCTGAGAGTCTCTGTTATATTGAATTTTACCCTATAGAGATCCACATAATCTTCCTACTTCAGTCATATAACACTTTCCTTAACACTCCAAACTGAGCTTCAAGTTCAAATTTCTCGTGCTCAATTTCAAAGCCTCATACATAGCTATTGTCCTCTCTGGTTCTGATAATTCCCCTACTCAGTACCCGCTACAGAATCTTTTGATGACATCTTCTACCTCAGGAGCTAAGAGATTATCCAGGAGATGGGAAATTGGCCTAATAGAGTCTGACAGAGTTCATTAGTAACTTTTAATAAAGAACTACTTATCTTTTTAAGAGAAAGGACCTTTTAAAATGTCTTAGTTAACTAGATAGAAACCATACAAAGAATTATTTTTAAACCCATACATAACATTTATTCTGTTTTCAAAATGAAATATATAAAAGATATGGAGACTAAATCAAAAACAATTTTATATTTAAAAACAATTTCTTATGCTTAATTACACAGACTGTCTGAATCAGAATACTAAGCAATGCCTTAAATATCAAAAATACTGCTGGATGTCAATCTTTAACAGCTTATGTTTCTAGGGCTATTGATTTCTTTTTACTTGTACCATGATGATGGGGAGGGCAGAACTCAAGGTCTTAAGATTTCTTTGATATAAAATATCAATTTCTATTGATTCTTGAAACTCTTATAATTGCTTTTCTCCCTTTTAGCAGAGTATAGGTTTAAAATATACTTTTTTCTAGCCCTGATTTTTAACTTCTCATTATTGCTTTATTATGTCTGAATTTCATGACTTCACAATGAGAGATGATTGAATGGTTGAGAGTTTAGAAATGAGATACAGAGCATTTCATCTCAAACTTTAATTCAATCAGTGGTGAACAAAAGTTAAATCTAAACAATGCTCAATCTAAACAATGTTCAATAGTAATGTATGAATCCACAGCCCATTTTTTTCTTTTATTGTTCAGAGGTCAATTATCCAGTTTGTGTATTATTCAGGCTTTTCAATTCTCATATTCTATTGCACTCCCCCCCCCTTTTTTTTTGCCATTCCAGTATTTATTATTACCTGCTCTAAAGAGGAAACATGAAACTTTAAAACACAAACCAGTTTGACTTTGTTACATACCAGTACCAGCCATAAAATAACTAATAAAGGGATGGAAGATCACTCACAAATGACAATTATCCATTCTCCTAGCATGGATAACTGAAAACTAGCAGCAGTGTATCAGTTTATCTTAAATCAGTTTATCCTCATCAGTCAAGCACACACTCTGCTGCTGCTGCTAAATCGCTTCAGTTGTGTCCAACTCTGTGCGACCCCATAGACGGCAGCCCACCAGGCTCCGCGTCCCTGGGATTCTCCAGGCAAGAACACTGGAGTGGGTTGCCATTTCCTTTTCCAAGCACACATTCTAGCCATCTCCAAATGAGAAATGAAAATTCAATCTAAGAATCCCTAACAGCAAGATACACTGTAACTATGAAAAGAAGTAAGGAACAATAAAAGAAGTGATTAAATGCCAATAATGTTTAATATAGTCAATGGAAGAAAAAACAGGGGCTATACTGCCATACAATAATATACAAAAAATTTTTTAAACACTTTATATTAATAGAACCCAAAGATTCAAGTCTAAAGTTAAGAGTTTAAGAGAAATCCTTCTTTACTGATACACACACAATAGTAAGATTTCATATCATTTGTTAGAGAAATGCCAAAATCAATTATATGTGATTCTTATTTCAAGATCTTAAAACTCAGTGATTGTTTAGAAATATACTAAAGAAATATAAGACATCAGCTGTAAGACATACTATTATTTTATGTACTATTAAGGAAAAATGCTGTTAGTTATAAATGAAAGACACCAATTATATGATGTATCCAAATTATAGAGATGTTTCAGTACCAAAAATAGGCTTTTTAGAATCAATGAAATTTAGTAATTATCATATTTATTTATCTTTCCAATATGGCACTTTCCAGTCTAACACATTTCTGATTACCTCTAGCAGGTTTAAAGGACTAAAGAAATAGTCCTTGTTTCTTGGCATGAAAAAAGGGCTGTAATGAACTAAATTATAGCTTTTCTCTACTCTACCATGCATTCACTACATGGCAAAAAAACAATCATCTGTATTTTGTAGAGTAGAAGACAATCATGATATAAACACTATCAAGAAAAATAATGTGAAAAGATGCTCAACATCGCTCACTATTAGAGAAATGCAAATCAAAACTACAATGAGATATCACCTCACACCAGTCAGAATGGCCATCATCAAAAAGTCTACAAACAATAAACGCTGGAGAGGGTGTGGAGAAAAGGGAACACTCTTGCACTGCTGGTAGGAATGTAAACTGATATAGCCACTATGGAAGATGGTATGGAGATTCCTTTAAAAACTAGGAATTAAAACCACCATATGGCCCAGCAATCCCACTCCTAGGCATATACCTTAAAGAAACCAAAATTGAAAAAGACACATGTATCCCATCGTTCACTGCAGCACTATTTACAATAGCTAGAACATGGAAGCAACCTAGATGTCCATCAACAAATGAATGGATAAAGAAGCTGCAGTACATGTACACAATGAAAAATTACTCAGCCATAAAAAGGAATGCATTTGAGTCACTTCTAATGAGGTTAGATTACACACAGTGAAGTGAGTCAGAAAGAGAAAGATAAATAGCGTATTCTAATGCATATATATGGAATCTAGAAAAATGGTACTGAATAATTTATTTACAGGGAAGCAATGGAGAAACAGACCTAGAGACAGACTATGGACATGGGGAGAGGAGAGGGGAGGAGAGGGTGAGGTGTATGGAGAGAGTAACATGGAACTTACATGACCATGTGTAAAATAGACAGCCAACGGGAATTTGCTGTGTGGCTCAGGAAACTAAACAGGGGCTCTGTATCAACCTAGAGGGGTGGGATGGGGCGGGAGACGGGAGGGAGGGGATAAATGTATACCTATGGCTGATTCATGTTGAGGTTTGACAGAAAACAAAATTCTGTTAAGCAATTATCCTTCAATTAAAAAATAAATACATTTTTTTAAAAAGGCAAAAAAAAAAAAATAATTTGTACAGTGGTTGACATAATAAAAGTCACAGTGGCTGACTTATAATAAAATCAAGAAAGCACTGTTCTCAAGCAGTGTGAATAAGCAAACATTTAAGTGTTAAAGGGGCTCTGTAAAATAGATTCCTAAATAGTATTAAAGTAACCTCACTTTTTCCTTTTATTATGACTAAAATACCAACATACTATCACAACAAAAACAGAAGTTCAAAATATGTAAAGCCCAGCTTACGACATACCAAAATAAATTTTATTTTCCTGTCTCATTCTTATGCATAACCTTCAAGTTTTCTCAACTTATTAATAATACCAAGTCTTTAAAAATAACTCAATGAGACTATAAAATTAAATGACTAAGCAAAAACTATACACTTGAAAAAAGTTTAAAAAATGAAGTGTGATTTCTGAAGCCCTATAGCAGAACTTTTAGAATGTTCCATCCTCTCCTCATTATGAGAATTAAATTGATT